ACCTTTTTATTTATCCGATCGTATCCAGATTTCTGTCAGTTCCCCAACAATTCCAAGATACATCCCCCCTACGCTACGCTACCGTCTTCCCCCGAATACAACGTACGGTCATTACAGCTGTATTTGGCGCACTCTGTCGGTCTAAATACAGCCATAATGACCGTAATGACCGTACGTTGTATTCGGGGGAAAAAGGTAGTGTACCGTAAAGTGGGCCAGCGCACTGTCAAAAAAAAAAAAATCAATATATATAATTAAAAAAAATCATTAATTTGGTAAATTAACTCGAACATGGGCACATCCTAAACTACCGAGTCGTCCTCATCCGTTTTCTTTTTTTTCTTTTTTGTTTTCCGGCTCGAGTGTGACCCCTCCTCGTTAATACCGAGGGGTAACCATTTTTTTTTTAATTTTTTTTTTATGGCTTCTTTCTCCTTTCGTTCGTTTTTTCCTTGTTTTCTTTTATTTTTCCTTTTCTTTCCTTCTTTTTCCTTACTTTTTTCCCTTGTCTTTCGTTTCTTTCTTTTTTTTTTCTTTTTTTTTTTCTTTTTTTTTCTTTGTTTTTCTTTTTTTTTTCCTTTTAGTTTTTTCTTTGAACGAGGCCCGATGGACCACATGGAAAAAAACTTTACCCGATGAACTGATCTTCTATCAAACCTTACCCGATCAGGAAGAAAAAAAAAATTAAAAAAAAAAAAAACACCTTATCCAATCTTCTTACCAATTAAAACTTCCCCATCATTATCCAATCTCCTTGATTGGATTTTTTAAACGAATACTCACTGAATACTCACTGAATACTCACAGAGTGAGTCACGTCCATTTCTTCCCGCCCGCTTCATCGGGGCACCCAATCTCATCAATCAAAACTTACCCACCCGTACGCGCACGACGCCATTTCAGGTTAGATTCGTATAGGCTCTCTGCGTCGTTTCTTTTTTTCTCCCTTTTTTTTTCTTTTTTTCTTTCTTTTTCCTTTTTTTTTTTTTTAATTTGGACCATTTCTCGATTAACGGGTGTCATATCATTGCGCAGGGGCCATTTGCTAATTTACCCTTCATTCTCTGTATCGTTCCAATATTTTAACGGATGTCCCCAAGGACATAGCATGCGTTTCTTTTTCCTTTTTTTTTTTTCTTTTTTTTTTGCTAGCATGCGTTTCCGCAGTACCGTCTTCCCCCAAAATAGAACCTGCGCTCAGTAATGTACCTGACCGTAATTACGACCAGGCTGGATGTATTCTCACAACTCTCCTGACAGTATTAGTTGGGGCAACCTTCAGCCTACACGAATATACGCACAGAACCACTCTCCTGAATGTATCTGACCGTAATTACAACCAGGCTGGATGTATTCTGCCGCAATTGCGTCCAGAAACAAGTTCAAGTCCTATGGAGTGCGAGTATGCCTTTAGATGCCGCGATAATGACCGTTCGTTTTATTCGGGGGGAGACGGTAGCGAGGAAACGCATACTATACGAATCCAACCTGAAATCGGGTTCGATACATACGCAAACGTTTGTCAAAACCCGCCCGCTACCCGTACACGTACCGGACCAATAGAACCACGAGAAATAAGGGGGAGAGAGAGAGAGAGAGAGAGAAATGAGAAGAGGGGAGAGAGAGAAATGAGAGGGGCGAGGGGGGAGAGAGAAATGAGGGGGGCGAGGGCTGTCTCTTATACACATCTAGATGTGTATAAGAGACAGCAATTAGCCTCAATAAGGAATTGAGGAGGCAGTTGCGCAAATGCGTCCTTAGTTTGGAAGGGGCAAAAAAAACAAAAAAAAAGGCCACCACCTAA